TCTTGCCAACCTATCAGTTCGAAAACATGTAAATGTAAGTAGATCAATAGGTACCACCTCAGCAGGAAGGTAATAAGGTGCCCATGGACAACAGGTGTCTATGGACAACAGGCTCCTCGGCTTGGACATGGAGAAAGAGTACCTCCCCATTGCCGGAGTTGAGCACCACCTCCAGAAGCCGGAGATGAAAGGGGAAGCCTTTACCTTTGTTTTGTGTATTTGTGTGTAATTGTTATTTCACTGTTTAAAAGGCATTGGATGTTTGCCTATCTGTGTATGTTGTAATCCATTCTGAGTCCCCTCAGGGAGATAGAGCGGAATATAAATGAAGTGTTGTTATTATTATTGTGGTTGTTGTTGATATAACAGAATATAAATGAAGTGTTTTTATTATTGTGGCTGTTGTTGATAGAGCAGAATATAAATGAAGTGTTGTTATTATTATTGTGGTTGTTGTTGATAGAGCGTAATATAAATGAAGTGTTGTTATTATTGTGGTTTTTGATAGAGCAGAATATAAATGAAGTGTTGTTATTATTGTGGTTGTTGTTGTTGATAGAGCAGAATATAAATGAAGTGCTGTTATTATTATTGTGGTTGTTGTTGATAGAGCAGAATATAAATGAAGTGTTGTTATTATTGTGGTTGTTGTTGATAGAGCGGAATATAAATGAAGTGTTGTTGTTGTTGTTGAAGACAGAGGGAAATGAAGGGAGACCATTTTACATTCTCTTCCACAACGATCACCTAGTTCTCAGATATGTTTGCTCATTAGTTTAAAGCACAAGGCACATATGCAGTGGTACTTTTGGGGTTTTTCTTCCTCAGGAGTTTTATCTATCAACGATGAAATATCTACTATGAAGCATTCCTGAGCCTGGCTTTTCAGTTGTAATTCTTTCAGCCTTGTGTTCCTCCAGCTCTCTAATTTCTTTGCCTCCCAGCTTCATTTGCTCAACAAGCCCCTCGTTCCTTTTCAGCTCCCGGAGCTCAGCAGTTCTGCTTCCTGCTGTCCACAAGGGCTGGTGGTTTGGGCATCAACCTGGCCACTGCCGACACCGTCATCATCTTCGATTCAGACTGGAACCCTCACAACGATATCCAGGTAGACCCCAGGCCTTTTTGGATTCGTGTTTATGAATAGGTAGACTTGTGTACTTTTGTTTAGTGATTTTCTTCTAATTCAAAACAGCAGAATGCTAGAGTATGAAAAGAGATATTGGCCAGCCATAAGAGGTCGGAAACAAATTGGGTTGTTGTAGCTTTTTTCAGGCTATATGGCCATGTTCTAGAGGCATTCTCTCCTGACATTTCGCCTGCATCTATGGCAAGCACCCTCAGAGGTAGTGAGGTCTGGAACTAGGAAAATTGGGTTTATATATCTGTGGAATGACCAGGGTGGGAGAAAGAACTCTTGTCTGTTGGAGCTAGGTGTGAATATTTCAATTGGCCACCTTGATTAGCATTTGATAGCCCAAACACGAACCAAGGAACATGAAAGGCACTGCAGACTACTTCAGCCAGAGAAGTCAGCCATAGCAGAGCACCTGATGAACCAACCTGGACACAGCATTTTATTTGAGAACACAGAAATGCTGGACCACTCTCACAACCACCATGTCAGACTATACAGAGAAGCCATTGAAATCCACAAAAAGCATGTGGACAATTTCAACAGAAAGGAGGAAACCATGAAAATGAACAAAATCTGGCTAGCAGTATTAAAAAACTCTAAAATTACAACAGCAAAACAACAGAGGAAATAATCAGGGACAGTTAATCACCTCTCAACAAAAGATTCCCTCAGGCACTAACAAGCCACACCAAAAAACTACCAGGCCATCAAATGCTAATCAAGGTGGTCAGTTGAAACATTCACACCTACCTCCAACAGACAAGAGTTCTTTGTCCCACCCTGGACATTCCACAGATATCTAAACCCAATTTTCCTAATTCCAACAGACCTCACAACCTCTGAGGATGCCTGCCATAGATGCAGGTGAAACATCAGGAGGGAATGCCTCTAGAGCAGTGGTTCTCAACCTGGGGTCCCCAGATGTTTTTGGCCTTCAACTCCCAGAAATCCTAACAGCTGGTAAAGTGGCTGGGATTTCTGGGAGTTGTAGGCCAAAACACCTGGGGACCCCAGGTTGAGAATCACTGCTCTAGAACATGGCCATATAGCCCGAAAAAACCTACAACAACCCAGTGATTCCAACCATGAAAGCCTTCGACAATACATGGAAACAAATTGCTTGTGTTTAATAGCAATGTCAGTTGTATCTTCTCAAACTTTGTTCTCTTCCATAACTCTTACATCTCTTTCTCCAAAACCATGGCAGTACTGGTCTCTTTTTATATTGTGCCATATTAAGTTGTGGAGCCCCCAGTGGTGCAGTGGGTTAAACCCCTGTACCGGCAGGACTGAAGACCGACAGGTCGCAGGTTCGAATCCAAGGAGAGACGGATGAGCTCCCTCTATCAGCTCCAGCTCCTTATGCGGGGACATGAGAGAAGCCTCCCACAAGGATGAGAAAACATCAAATCATCCGGGCGTCCCCTGGGCAACGTCCTTGCAGACGGCCAATTCTCTCACACCAGAAGCTACTTGCAGTTTCTCAAGTCACTCCTGACACGACAATAAATAAATAAATATTAAGTTGTCAGAAATATTAAAAATTAACTATGTATTTTTAATTACAAAAATGTGAGTCAAGCACTGAGATGGTTAAATAGATGTAATGACTCTGCAAAAGCTGCAGTTCAGTATAAGCAGAGGTGCCTGTAGTTGAGTAGGCCTCAAATCAGTCTGTGTGGTGGTCCAGCCAGCTGAAGATGAGGGGTTTGGAGGTTCATGGCCTGATGGTTCTGTGGGTGACCAAACAGAGGGGGTCTTAGAGCAAGATGGTTCTCCAGCTGAGGGAACGGAGGGGGTTTTGGAACAAGATGCTATTACTGAGACAAAGTGTGAGAGTGAAACTGTTTTGGAAGCCAACAGGCAGGGAGAGGAGGATAACATTAGCTCATCAGAATTAAACAGAGATACCCGGCTGCTTCTGAGGGGGCAGAGATTCAGGTGCAGGAAAATCCTTGAGAAATAATAATATCGTAATAATAAACCTTTATTTGTACCCCACTACCATCTCCCAAAGGACTCAGTGCAGCTTACATGAGGCCGAGCCCAAATACAATAGTAAAAACAATAACAACAACAACATAATAACTCAAAAAACAAGGCAATAGCATTAACAACACACAATGACGCAATTAAAATCAATGGCAGGGCCAAATGTAATAATTAAAATTAAAAAGAGAAAGAGAGGCAGAAGCAAGCCTATCAAGGTCAAAGGAATGTGTTCATGTTTTGCAGTCCTTAAAATTATTGAGAGAGCTTTTAGGATTTCATATCAAGCAACATCGCTACTGTAGTGAGATGTTGTCCTGGTTCGTGCTTTAGTTCAAGGCCCAAGATTCCTGGTCAAGTTTTGCCCCTTGTTTTATGGATTTACCTATGCTCATGTTTTGCTCCTTATTTCCTGGATTAATGTTTATGTTTTAACCATTGTATTCTTGATTTACCTATTGCCTTTGGGAGTTGCTTCCTTTATTAATATTTGGATTTTTACCCTGCTATTTGCTTAAGGTGCCATTGGCTCTTTTTATATGTGTTTTATCAATAAAATAAAATAAAATAATAAAAAGAATTGTTGGAGGCTACAGGCAATGCCGTTGCTTTTGCCAGTTTTTGGTCAAGAGATATTTAGCTGCCTGCGCTCCTTCTATTTTTGTCAGTTTTATACTAATTTATGCAATGCTTTTGATACAAAATACATAAAATCAATAAACTGTTTATTGCCACGTCTGGTTTCCTGGAAGAAAAATCTCCCTTCCTTCTTTGCCTGGTTGCATCCTTGTTTGAATGTCTTTGGGTTCTTCCCCCACTCCCCAAATTGCTTTTAGGCCTTCAGTCGAGCCCATCGTATCGGCCAGGCTAACAAGGTGATGATCTACCGCTTTGTGACGCGAGCCTCGGTGGAGGAACGGATTACGCAGGTGGCCAAGCGCAAGATGATGCTGACGCACTTGGTGGTCCGCCCCGGACTGGGCTCCAAGTCAGGGAGCATGTCCAAGCAGGAGCTGGATGACATCCTCAAGTTCGGAACCGAGGAACTTTTCAAAGACGAAAACGAGGGTGAGGAGCCTGTCACATTTGGAATCAGAGAGTAGCTAAACTTGTTTTCTTCAAGGGCAGACCCAACTAGAATTGGTTGCAGGGATCTAGCTCAGGAACTGGGAAATTTGGGCCCTAGCGGCTGTTAGGAATTGTGGGAGTTGAACTTCAAAACACCTGGAAGGCCCGAATTTGCCCATGCCTAGCCTAGCCATATTTTCACCAAGATAGGCATCTTTGTTACAAGTATAGAATCCCGCAAAAGAGATTTGTGGCCTTTTTATTTGATGGAGTGATAAGAAAAATGCTAATGCTCCAACCAACCTTTCCAAGTGTAACATTGCTGTTAGCCTATAAAGTTTGATGCAGATTTGTCATGATTCCAGCCAGCCATGGGAAGGTAAAAGGTTTTGTGGATGATCTGCTTGTCCCACCGGGACATGAACTTGAATTGGCATCCATGGACCACACAGATAGAATCATAGAATCATAGTTGGAAGAAACCTCCATCCAGTCCAACCCCATTCTGCCAAGAAGCATTCAAAGCCCCTCTCCCCAACAGATGGCTATCCAGCCTCTGTTTCAAAGCCGCCAAAGAAGGAACCTCCACCACACTCTGGTGCAGAGAGTTCCACTGCTGAACAGCTCTTACAGTCAGGAAGTTCTTCCTCATGTTCAGGTGGAATCCCCTTTCCTGTAGTCTGAAGCCAATGTTCCATGGCATCCTAGTCTCCAGGGCAGCATAATCCCTCCTCCCTATGACTTCCCCTCACATATTTATCCATGACCCTCACATGTTTCCTCTCAGCCTTCTCTTCTGCAGGCAAAACATGCCCAGCTCTTGAAGCTGCTCCTCATAGGGCTTGGTCTCCAGAACCGTGATTATTTGAGTCGCCCTCCTCTGAATACATTTCAGCTTAGAGTCAACATCTCCCTTCAATTGCAGTACTGTCACGTTGCCAGGGCTCTACCTTGTTTAGGTAGAGATGAACCAAACTCCCAGTTTTAACAAACAGTTTAATTAAAGCAGCACTTACTTGCTGGCTGTTTTTATAGTCCCAAATATAAAACACAAAGATAGTACGCAGCTACAGAATAAACAAAAACTGATAGCAAAAATAACTTCGTAGTCAAAAAGGTCCAGTCCAGTGGTCAAATGCCGAGAGTTCAATAAACAAAGTCCAGGGATCAAGAGTCTATACCGTAGTCAAAAGCCAGACCAAAGGTTCAAGGTTCCAGGATTCCAAGATTACAGGAGACAGGTCAGGATACCGAAAAATCCAACATACCTGGGGGAAAAACCAACAGCATCCACCACCAAAATACAACAGATACTTTTCTTCCCAAAAATCAGTGCCAAAGCTAGCTCCTTATATCCAGAAACACCCAGATGCAACCCATCTCTTGCATACCTCCACCCTTAATTGATTTCACCCATGAACTCTTACTTACAGATTACTGAACCCTTTACATTACCCCTTCCATCACCAAGCACCATCAACTGCAGAACATATGACAGGTACCCAGAATTTGACACTGTGTGAGGGGTAGCATGACTTCCCTGGATCTAGACACTAGGCTCCTATTGATGCAGGCAAAAATCCCATTGGCTTTTTTAGCCATTGCATCACAGTGTTGGCTTATGTTCAACTTGTTGCCCATGAGGACTCCAAGATCTTTTCCACACGTACTGCTGTCGAGTTCCTCATTTGTTTTGGGACAGGAGATCTCCCAAGGCCCATGCAGGTCTTTTATCCTTCATTTTCTCTTCTCTCCACACTCCCATACTTGTAGGAGAAAACAAAGACGAAGACAGCAGCGTCATCCACTATGACAATGAAGCTATCGCCCGGCTCTTGGACCGTAACCAGGACGCCACAGACGATGCCGATGTTCAGAACATGAACGAATACCTCAGCTCCTTCAAAGTGGCACAGTATGTGGTTCGGGAGGAGGACAAGGTCAGTTGGAACGGGGAGACGTCAAAGTTGTGGCTGGTGGTCCCTCTAGCAGGAATGAGCTGCTCCAGAGCTGAAGTTTGGGAAGTTTACATGTACATGTGTTCTAGAATGAGTGCATTTTGGGCCAGGATGTGTGCCTCATGGTCTGACCTTCTCTGATCCCTTCAGATTGAGGAGATTGAGCGGGAGATCATCAAGCAGGAGGAGAACGTGGACCCCGACTACTGGGAGAAGCTCTTGCGGCATCATTACGAGCAGCAGCAGGAGGATTTGGCTCGCAACCTGGGGAAAGGGAAGCGGGTGCGCAAACAAGTCAACTACAACGATGCTGCCCAGGAGGACCAAGGTCAGCACTTGGGTGGATAGGAGCAGGGACAAATAGGTCTCAGTCTTTGGGGGAGCAGAGGTTGGCATCCTAATAGTAAGACTACAATTGTAAGACTACAATGCGTAAGCATATGGGACCAATGTGCATGCAACACACATGGTAGTGTGTTAATGCATGCTGTGCATTTAAGTTTCTCAGTAGGTTGTCAGCCATGTGCATTGACCATATTGGGCTTCCTTGATGGTCACTATACGGGGTTGCGTAATGTAACTCCACTGGTGGATATTTAGATTGTGCCAAAATATTTACACTCTGCTGAATCGTCCCCAGTCCCCAATCTTAGAATGGAAGAAACCACAAGGACCATCCAGTCCAATTGCTTGTCATGTATGAAAAGCACAATCAAAGCACCCCTAACAGATGGCCATCCAGCCTCTGTTTAAAAGCCTTCCAAAGAAGTCGCCTCTTGTAAAACTAGAAGCCTGCAAATGAATTAAAATGGTGTTAAATGTGGCCAACTGTATGTCTGATGTTTAGATCCTCCCATCATGCAATGGAGGGAAATCAACTACGCCAGTGGGTCTCAACCTGGGGCTCCCAGATGTTTTTGGCTTTCAACTTCCAGAAATCCTAACAGCTGGTAAACTGGCTTGGATTTCTGAGAGTTGTAGACCAAAACACCTGGGGACCCACAGGTTGAGAACCACTGAACTACGCCCATGCTTCCCATACATGCTTCCTTGGAAGCACCATGGCAGCTTGCAATTTTTTTATTTTATTTTTTATTTTTTTTAATTTATTGCAATTTGTATTTTTGTATTGTAATTTTTTGTTTGGTCTTGGCCCCATGTAAGCTGCTCCGATTCCCCGTTGGGGGAGATGGTGGCGGGGTATAAATAAAGTTTATTATTATTATTATTGGTTGTATATTTGGCCATTGGGCAGGTATTTCAGGAAGCCAAGGATTCAAATGTCTTCAGCAGTTTGCCCCAAAGTGGTGAAATGCTGCTGTCTTTGGGTGCAGCTCCGTTGAGCTTGTTCTGGGGGGGCTGAAAGAGGAGGGAGGAAACATTGAACAAGCAAACAGTGCTGCTTGCAAACTGATGCCATCCTGTTTCAGACAATCAGTCTGAGTATTCGGTGGGCTCTGAAGAGGAGGACGAAGACTTTGACGAGAGGCCGGAAGGTGAGGGCCTTGTTTCCCTTGTCTCTCTCTCTTTTGCGCTGTGGACTTGAAGGGGCCGTAGGGCTGCAGGGGCCCAGCCATTTCCTTTGGGGAGGGGTCTCTCCTGCCTGCCGCGCCTTTAGTCCACACAGCATGAGAACTTCTGCCAAGCAGAGAACGGGAACTAACAAGATGCATGCGTTCTAGCCTGGGAGAAGAGACCATGCTTGCTTTGCCTGCAGTGTTTTCTAAAGGCCGTGAACTCTGTATTGATTGGTATCACTGAGGTTTGGCCAGCGCTCTTGCTGCACCCCACTTAGGAAACCTGATGGGAACCTCTCTTTCCTTGTAGCATCCCTTTGTGTGGATACATATTTGGGAGGTTGCTTTCTGTGAAATCAACCTTTTGCACTTGTCTTTCTTTTCTGGGAATGCGGCCATCCCTCCCTATCAGTCCTGCCTGGGAACTGGGCTCGCGTCCTGGCTTTCCTTGGCTAAAGAAACCTGTAGTGTTGGGCTTGCTGGCATGGGGGGCTTGCCAAGGCAGTTGGAAGCTTTCTGGGCACCTGGCCATGTCTGGCTAATGCTGCAGCAGTAGTCAAGGGCCTTGATTGTCAATCTCTTGTCTCTCGCTCTACACGCCAAGGTCGCAGACAGTCCAGGCGGCAGCTTCGAAATGAGAAGGACAAGCCGCTCCCTCCTCTCCTGGCACGGGTCGGTGGGAACATTGAGGTGAGAGGGGACAGCTCCGGAGGGCGGCCTGCAAAGGGCTGGAGGGTGACTGATTTGGCTCCACTCCTCCAAAAGTGGTGCGGAAAGTTTGCGGTGCTCTGGGATGGGCACAGGTACTTGAGACCTTTTATTTTGAGGTGCCCTGATTGGGATTCTGGGGGATGTGATCCAAAAAGTAACATTTCTAAGCTCTGGGCGCGCATGCATGCTAAGAGTGTTGGAATTCAACCCCACACTGCCCAAGTCTCAAGTCCCCAACAAGGAACAATGTAATTAGTTTAGAACAGACTAAGGGTTTTCCTTCCTCCCTGCCTCCTGAATGACAGTTGTTTAAAATGGATACTTTTCAACTGCAGGCTTTTTGAATCTGTCTTCTGCCTTCTGACACTTTAGTATGGAGAGTATGTGCTGTGTGCTTTGAGATCTCTCTCTGCTTCTGTGTCTGGAGTGGAGATGGAGTGCACGATATAATGTCCTTCTCTTTAAAACAGGGGTCCACAAACTTTTTAAACAGAGGGCCAGGTCACAGTCCCTCAAACTGTTGGAGAACTGGATTATAATTTGAAAAAAAAAACCCATGAGTGAATCCCTATGCACATTGCACATATCCTATTTGTAGTGCAAAAAACACTTTAAAACAATACAATAATTAAAATTAAGAACAATTTTAACAAATTGAACAGGTGTTACTGGGAGACACCAGTTCAACCCCACAACCATTGTCTTGTGGGGTTTCGTGGGTTCAGTATTGTCCCCCATGTTGTTTAACATCTACATGAAGCCGCTGGGGGAGATCATCTGGAGTTTCAGGGTGCGGTGTCACCTGTATGCAGATGACGTCCAACTCTGTTACTCCTTCCCACCTGCTGCTAAGGAGGCTGCTCAGGTCCTGATGCAGTGCTTGGCCGCTGTGATGATCTGGATGAGGGTGAACAAATTGAAATTGAATCCAGACAAGACAGGTCCTCCTGGTCAGTCGAAAGGCTGAACAGGGCATAGGGTTCCAGCCTATGTTGGACAGGGTTAAACTCCCTCTGAAGGTCGCAGCTTGGATGTGATCCTGGACTCATTGCTGAGCTTGGAACCCCAAGTTTCAGTGGTGACCAGGGGAGCATTTACACAGTTCAAACTTGTGCGCCAGCAGCACCCATACCTTGGGAAGTCTGACTTGGCCATGGTGGTCCACGCTCTTATTACATCCTGTATAGACTACTGCAATGCCCTCTATGTGGGGTTGCCTTTGAAGACTATTAGGAAGTTTCATATGGTACAAAGGGTGGCAGCCAAGTTACTAACAGGAGCGACACTCAGGGAACACACTACTCTTCTGTTGTGTCAGCTTCACTGGCTGCCAATTTGCTACTGAGCACAATTCAAAGTGCTAGCTTTAGCCTATAAAGCCCGAAACAATTCCAGCCAAGCCTACCAGTCAGAACATATCTCCTCCTATTTACCAGCTGTTAGGATTTCTGGGAGTTGTAGGCCAAAACACCTGGGGACCCACAGGTTGAGAACCACTGATCTAGGAGCTTAAGATCATCTGGGGAGGCCCTGCTCTTGATCCCGCCTGCCTCGCAAGTGCAATTGGCAGAGACAAAGGACAGGGCCTTCTCAGTGGTGCCCTCCCTGGCTATGGAACTCCCTCTCCAGGGATATTCGATCGGCCCCCTCCCTCCTGACTTTCTGAAAAAAAAACAAAGACCTGGCTCTTTGAGCAAGCTTTTGTGAATGCAGCGGAATAGATAACATGGAACTATGAATGATGAACATGGAATGGCCAGACGATGTTACGGGATAACGTTTTTAACAAGATGACACAGATGATTATATCCTTTAGCGGTTTTTATTTATGTTTTATATTGTAATGTTGATTGTTTTTAATGGCACTTTTGTGAATGCCTGACACCGAATTGTGCCAATCTGTAACCCACCTTGAGTTGCCGTATGGCTGAGAAAGGCGGGCCATAAATATTGTAAATAAATAAATAAATATAAACTTATTAGTATTTCAATGGGAAGTGTGGGCCTGCTTTTGGCTGATGAGATAGGATTGTTGTTGTTGTTGTGACCTTTCAGGTCGTTTCAGACTTAGGTTGACCCTGAGCGAGGGCCGGGTAAATGCCCTTGGAGGGCCGTATCCGGCCCCTGGACTTTAGTTTGAGGACCCCTGCTTTAAAACCATAGAAGAGATGGGTGTTAGGATAGCTCAGACTCAGTTCTTTACTAGGAGATATGTAGTTAGTTTTTATTATTATTGTAAGTAAACCTTTTGTGATTTTTAAAGTCAGGACTCTGCATCATTGCCTTTCTAAACTCTTAATTCTTTACAGCCACATCACACAGCACTTCACGCTTTGCTCACTGATGAGCTGATGCTCAATTTTTGTATCCTGTTTGATTTTTTTTGGTGCTCTGCTTTATTTTAGGGTAGTTTTCCCTAACAAAGAGTTCCTGTTTTCAAGTCACCTTTCAACTTACAGCAACACCGTATTTTTTAAAAAGTTTTTTGTAGGCAAGCAATACTCACAGGTTGTTTTCCATTGCCTTCCTCTGAAATATAGTCTCCCTGGCTTAGTTTCCAAGATCAGATGGGATCTGGTGCTTTTCACCTATTTTATATACACTAGCTGTACCCTCCACGCGTTGCTGTGGCCAACCTTCGCTCCCTCTTTCTCTCCTTCTTTCCTTCCTTCCTTCACGCCCTCTTTCCTTCCTTCCTTCCCTTTTCTTCTTTCCTTCCTTCCCTCTTTCTCTTTTTTCTTCCTTCTCTACCTTTTTCCTTCCTTCGTTCGCTTTTTGCTTCCATCCTCCTTTCTCTCTTTCCTTCTTTCCTTCCCTCCCTTTCTCCTTTCTTTCTTCTCTACCTCTTTCCTTCCTTTTTTGCTTTTTGCTTCCATCCGTCCTTTCTTTCCTTCTTTCCTTCCATCTCTCTTTCTCTCCTTCCTTCGCTCCCTCTTTCCTTTCTTCTCTTATTTTCTTTCCTTCTCTCCTTCCTTCCTTCACTCTTTGCTTCCATGCTTCCTTCTCTCCTTCCTTCTTCCTTCCTTCCGTCCGTCCTTCCTTCCTTCCCCCTCCCTCCCTTCCCTCCCTCCCCCCTCCCTCCCTCTTTCTTTCTTTCTCCTCTTCCTTCCCTTTTTTTCTATATTGTCATTTAACTTTTCATCCTTTTGTTTTTTTTGTTTTTAAGTCCTTTCTGCTGTTTTTTTGGTGTGAGGAGTGGGTTATGAGTGAGGGTTATAGTGTCCAAATTTCATGTCAATTCGTCCAGTGGTTTTGAGTTATGTTAATCCCACAAACTAACATTACATTTTTATTTATATAGATATGGGGATTGTTACATTACTGTTTGAAAAGTGGGTAACTCCCATTAAAGAAATGGCTTGCCAGGCTTGCCCCTCTGGCTAGTTATATTAGGATTTCTAGTGAATGGGGCAGAGCACAGTTGTAGTTCAGTTGCTGACGTTTGGGGCCCTGATTCTGTTCCTTTATGCGTCCTCCTTAGGTGCTGGGCTTCAACACCCGTCAACGCAAGGCCTTCCTGAATGCGGTCATGCGCTGGGGCATGCCTCCCCAGGACGCCTTCACCTCCCAGTGGCTGGTCCGGGATTTGCGGGGCAAAACCGAGAAAGAATTTAAGTAGGTCCTCTGTATGAGATGTGTATTCTTTCAGCATGTGTTCCACAGATAGCCTTGGGAGTCATCCTAGAGGGCAGCTAAAGCATGTTACAATTTCCACAATTCTAAACCAGTATCGTTTATGTTTTGGTGTTGTGTAGTAGTAGGTCCCTTGCAGAACGACGCTATAGCTGGCCATTCATTGCCCCAACCTTACACCAGAACCACCTGCTTTAGGGGACATTTATTTATTTATTTATTTATTTACACTGCTTATATTCCGCCCTTCTCACCCCGAAGGGGACTCAGGGCATATCACAGAACACATATATGGCAAACATTCAATGCCGATTATGCAACGACAAGACAGACAACAAATAGAGGTATATATAGGCGTTTTCTCATCATTCGGCATCTTTGGAGGTTGTGCTCCATTCCGGCCACAGGGGGGTGCTGTCTCGCCATCTCGTTGCCAAAGAGCTTTCTCCGTTCGTAAACTTGCCTTACAGTTGATTTTGTGCATGCATTATAATGTATTTTTTTTGGTTTTTTGTCTTTTTAAGTCTCTTCTGCTGTGTTTTTATGAGTGATGGTCACTCGTTAGCCTGATAGGTGTCTTGTGTCCAAATTTGGTGTCAATTCGCCCAGAGGTTTTTGAGTTATTTTAATCCCACAGACAACCATTACATTTTTATTTATATAGTTTTCAGGATTCTAACTGCGGAGATAAGCCGGCCATATGCCTGCTAGAATCCCTGAGGCTGGAGCGGTTTTCAGCATCCTCCTCCTGGTTTGCATCAACAGCGAGAATAATACAAAACATACAAAAAGTCATAGAGAGTAGATTATCTGTCTAAGCTGTTAATGGTGCCAAATTTGGCTTTGTCCGCTGCTGAATGAATGAAGGAGGCCTGCATTGGAGTTGAGCCCACTCCCTCGGAATGGGATGAGCGGATTAGCTTCCCTGCTTTCGTTGCCAAGTGATGACAGTTCTTACTCATCTGAGGTGCTCTCGGCAGGCATTTCTCTGTCTGTCAATCCGGAGTGTGAGGTGAAGCCGTGACCCCCCCTCCCTCACACAGACACAGAACAACCCCTTAGCAAAGGGGGGCTGTAGCCAAACACATTGGGGAGCCCGAGGCATGGCTTCTGCCCAGCTGGCCCACAGCTACATAGCCTTGCACGCACTGGATGAAGACGAGTGAAGACAATTCTGATGGCAAACTAGTGCAGAGGGGCAATGTTCTTAAGTTACGGCCTCTACTTTTAGAATTTCAGTCATGAGAATTGTTGGGTGAGTGGGCTTAGTAACAAAAGACCCTCCCCATAAACGTACAGCAGAGTAACTTATTAGCAGCAGCATGACTCAGCACCAATAGCCCAAAGTGATAAAAAGAACGAAACACACACAGACCAATGTTATCTCTTCCATAGGAGGCCTTTCTTTATAGCAAAATAATATGGTTGCACTATTTACAAAAACAAGATTTCCATAACACAAAGTTCTTTTTTACTTCCTTCTTTGCTTCCCCACTGAGCTTCTTTCTCATGCAGATAAACAGCTTTGCTCTCACTGAGCTTCCTCTCACATCGAACTTACACAAGAGCTTCACTCAGTAGCTTTTTACACACAGCTTTATACACAAGGTTTTCAAACTGGGGCTCCTCTCACCGAAGCCTCTCACACCAGGCCTCTCTCACACACTGAAGCCTGCTAACTCTGAGGCCTGCCTCACATTGAGGCCTACTAACACTGAGGCATTCTCATACTGAGGCGAACTATCATTGGAGCCTTCTCATACTGAGGCCTTCTCATACCGAGACTTCTTTCATACTGAGGGCAACTAACACTGAGGGCTACTAACACTGAGGCATTCTCATACTGAGGCCTTCTCATACCAAGGCTTCTTTCATTCTGAGGGTAACTAACACTGAGGGCTACTAACACTGAGACATTCTCATACTGAGGCAAACTAACTGTGAAGCCTTCTCATACTGAGGCCTTCTCATACCGAGGCTTCTTTCATACTGAGGGCAACTAACACTGAGGGCTACTAACACTGAGGCATTCTCATACTGAGGGCTACTAACACTGAGGGCTACTAACACTGAGATATTCTCATACTGAAGCAAACTAACACTGGAGCCTTCTCATACTGAGGCTTTCTCATACCGAGGCTTCTTTCATACTGAGGGCAACTAACACTGAGGGCTACTAACACTGAGGCATTCTCATACTGAGGCAAACTAACACTGAGGGCTACTAACACTGAGGCATTCTCATACTGAGGCAAATTAAGTCTGGAGCCTTCTCATACTGAGGCCTTCTCATACTGAGGCTTCTCTCATACTGAGGGCAACTAACACTGAGGGCTACTAAGTACAGGCACACTTATTTATATAGAACTGCAGCTTCTGCAGAGTCATTGCATCCATTTAACCCTTTCAGTGCTTGATTCACATTGTTGTCATCAAAAATACCTAGTTAATTTTTAATATTTTTGTCAAGAACTGTGTGATGTCACTGCAGTTGAGTCAGTGGGTAGGCAGGAGACACAATCTGCTTTAACCTCCAATGCTTTATAATCTGAACGCATTATTCACCGATACATCACACAATCCTAGACACTTGGGAAGTGTCCAACGTGTGATCCAATTCAACAGCCAGCAGAGAGTCTGCTGTGGACTCATCTTGTTGTGTTTCAAATAATAAATGGAGTAAAATAATAAATGGAGTAGTAGTAGTAGTAGTAGTAGTAATAATAATAATAATAATAATAATAATAATAATAAATAGAGCAAAATGATAAATATAATAATAACAGAGTAAAATAATAAATAACTTTGACTCGAGTGTAAGCTGAGGGGGACTTATGTTGTTCATTCGTTCAGTCGTCTCCGACTCTTCGTGACCTCATGGACCAGCCTACGCCAGAGCTCCCTGTCGGCCGTTACCACCCCCAGCTCCCTCAAGGTCAGTCCAGTCACTTCAAGGATGCCATCCATCCATCTTGCCCTTGGTCGGCCCCTCTTCCTTTTGCCCTCCACTTTCCCCAGCATAATTGTCTTCTCTAGGCTTTCCTGTCTCCTCATGATGTGGCCAAAGTACTTCAACTTTGTCTCTAGTATCTTTCCCTCCAGTGAGCAGTCGGGCTTTATTTCCTGGAGGATGGACTGGTTGGATCTTCTCGCAGTCCAAGGCACTCTCAGCCCTTTCCTCCAGCACCACAGCTCAAAAGCATCGATCTTCCTTCGCTCAGCCTTCCCTAAGGTCCAGCTCTCACATCCGTAGGTTACTACAGGGAATACCATGGCTTTGACTAGGCAGATCTTTGTTGCCAGTCTGATGTCTCTACTCTTTACTATTTTATCGAGACTGGACATTGCTCTCCTCCCAAGAAGGAAGCGTCTTCTGATTTCCTGGCCACAGTCTGCATCTGCAGTAATCTTTGCACCTAGAAATACAAAGTCTGTCACTGCCTCCACATTTTCTCCCTCTATTTCCCAGTTGTCAATCATTCTTGTTGCCATAATCTTGTTTTTTTATGTTTAGCTGCAACCCAGCTTTTCTTCTTTCACCTTGATTAGAAGGCTCCTCAGCTCCTCCTCGCTTTCGGCCATCAGAGTGGTGTCATCTGCATATCTGAGGTTGTTGATGTTTCTTCCAGCAATTTTCACGCCAGCTTTGCCTTCATCAAGCCCCGCACATCGCATGATGTGTTCTGCATACAAGTTAAAAAGGTTGGGTGAGAGTATGCAGCCTTGCCGTACGCCTTTCCCAATCTTGACCAGTCTGTTGTTCCGTGGTCAGTTCTGACTGTTGCTACTTGGTCCTTGTACAGATTCCTCAGGAGAGAGACAAGGTGGCTTGGGATGCCCATCCCACTAAGAACTTGCCACAATTTATTATGATCCACACAGTCAAAGGCTTTAGAATAGTCAATGAAACAGAAATAGATGTTTTTCTGAAACTCCCTGCCTTTCTCCATTATCCAGCGGATATTGGCAATTTGGTCTCTCGTTCCTCTGCCTTTTCTAAACCCAGCTTGTACATCTGGCAACTCTCGCTCCATGTATTGCTGGAGTCTTCCTTGCAGGATCTTGAGCATTACCTTACTGGCATGAGAAATAAGGGCCACTGTACGGAAGTTTGAGCAGTCTTTCGCATTTCCCTTTTTTGGTATGGGGATATAAGTTGATTTTTTCCGGTCTGATGGCCATTCTTGTGTTTTCCATATTTGCTGGCATATGGCATGCATCACCTTGACAGCATCATCTTTTAAGATTTTAAACAGTTCAGCTGGGATCCCGTCATCTCCTGCTGCCTTGTTGTTAGCAATGCTTCCTTAAGGCCCATTCAACCTCACTCCTCAGGATGTCTGGTTCTAATTCATTCACCACACCGTCAAAACTATCCTCAATATTATTATCCTTCCTATACAGATCTTCGGTATAGTCTCGCCACCTTCTCTTGATCTCTTCAGCTTCTGTTAGGTCCCTGCCATCTTTGTTTCTTATCATACCAATTTTTGCCTGAAATTTACCTCCAATGTTTCTAATTTTCTGGAAGAGGTCTCTTGTCCTTCCTATTTTGTTGTCTTCTTCCACTTCCATGCATTGCTTATTTAAAAATAGTTCCTTATCTCTTCTGGCTAACCTCTGGAATTGCGCATTTAACTGGGCATATCTCCCCTTATCCCTGTTTCCTTTTGCTTTCCTCCTTTCTTGGGCTACTTCCAGTGTCTCAGCAGACAACCATTTTGCCTTCTTGGTTTTCTTTTTCTTTGGAACGTACTTTGTTGCCGTCGCCTGAACAATGTTGCGGACTTCTGTCCATAGTTCTTCTGGGACTCTGTTTACTAAATCTAGTCCTTCAAATCTGTTCTTCACTTCCACTGTATATTCGCTAGGAATGTTAGTGAGATCATATCTAACTGGTCTGTGTATTTTCCCTGATCTCTTTAGTTTTATTCTAAATTGGTCAATAAGAAGTTCGTGATCTGAGCTACAGTCAGCCCCAGGTCTTGTTTTCACCGACTGGATGGATGTCCGCCACCTTTGGCTGCAAAGGATGTAGTCAATCTGATTTCGGTGTTGACCATCTGGTGAGGTCCATGTATAAAGCCGTCTTTTAGGTGTTGGAAGAGAGTATTCGTTATACACAGCGAGTTTTCCTGGCAAAATTCTATCAGCCTGCGTCCCGCTTCATTTTGTTCTCCCAGACCATGCTTGCCTGTGATCCCTGTTGTCATTTGACTTCCCACCTTGGCATTCCAGTCTCCTGTAATGAAAATAATGTCTCTTTTTGGTGTATTATCCAGTAGGTCCTGCAGATCCTCATAGAACTGATCTACTTCTGCTTCGTCAGCAGCTGTGGTTGGGGCGTATATTTGGATCACTGTAATGTTGAAAGGCTTTCCTTGCACTCGAATTGAGATCATTCTGTCATTTTTTGGATTGTATCCCAGCACTGCTTTAGCGAATTTCTTATTAATTATGAAGGCTACTCCATTTCTTCGATGTTCCTCTTGTCCGCAGTAGTAGATCTGGTGGTCATCTGATGTGAAGTGGCCCATTCCAGTCCATTTCAGTTCGCTGACCCCCAGAATGTCTATCTTTAGTCTTGACATCTCGCCAATAACAACATCCAATTTGCCCTGGCTCATAGATCTTACATTCCAGGTTCCTATGGTGTGTTGATCTTTAGAGCATCGGATTCGTCGTTCACCTCCAGTACCGTCGGCCGCTAGCCTTCCTTTCGGCTTTGAGCTAGCTGCGTCATCACATCTGGGGCTAGTTGAACTTATCCTCGGCTCCTCCCCAGTAGCATTTTGGCCATCTTCCGACCTGGGAGTCCCATCTTCCAATGGCATACCGACATATCTCTGGTTGTACTGGTCCATTTAGTTTTCTTGGCAAGGATACTGGAGTGGTTTGCCATTGCCTTCCCCAGGGATCACGCTTGGTCTGACCTCTCTGCCACAACCGTCCCGTCTTGGGTGTCCCTTCACGGTTTCGCTCATGACATCATTGAGGTGCTCAAGCTCCAGCGCCCCGACAAGGCGGTGATCCTTTGCTGGAGGAGGGGGACTTATACTCAAGTATATACGGTAAAGCCCCGGTTGCCACTTTCAGTTCCTAGTTCCTCAGTTCCATAAATATAATAATAACAGAGTAAAATAATAATTTTGACTCGAGTATAAGCTGAGGGAGACTTATACTCGAGTATATACGGTAAGGCACAGTTGCCACTTTCAGTTCCTAGTTCCTCAGTTCCTAGGCTGCAGATTACCCACTTGTGTGAATTCACAGACTACTACTTGAAGAAATAAGTTACAGGTAAGCCACCTGTCCATCTCTGTCCCACCTTTACTAACCTTTAAAAAATTTCTAATGCCCCAAATAGTTTATGCTGTTCTCATAGGAGCGTTCTGCTACTTTCCAACGTATAGATTTGGGAATTAGGTAGGGTCTCATCTTTGGTGCCTTTTTGGCTTGCAAAGGTCTTCACTCAGCTCTTGGACTTCATATTTCCGCAGGGCGTATGTCTCTCTGTTCATGAGGCATCTCTGTGAGCCTGGGGCAGACGGTTCGGAGACGTTTGCGGATGGGGTGCCCAGGGAGGGGCTCTCGAGGCAGCAGGTCCTGACCCGGATAGGCGTCATGTCTCTGGTGAAGAAAAAGGTACACGATCTGATCATTTCCATTGGAGCTGCATGGATGCCAGTCTGGCTAATCAGGCAGGGATGGAGAATCTGCTCTCCATACACGGTTGGACTTTATTTTATTTATCGTGTCATCCACAACCAGGCCATTGTATTACATTTCTAACAGAATAAAACAAACAAACATTAAAAACCCCACAAATTTTGCAAACTTGGTAGTTGATTAAATGTCCTTTGACCAGTATCTGGCCACTTGGAGTGCCTCTGGTGTTGCCGCAAGGAGGTCCTCCATTGTGCATGTGGCAGGGCTCAGGTTGCATTGCAGCAGGTGGTCAGTGGTTTGCTCTTCTCCACACTCGCATGTTGTGGATTCCACTTTGTAGCGCCATTTCTTTAGGTTGGCTCTGCATCTTGTGGTGCCAGAGCGCAGTCTGTTCAGCGCCTTCCAAGTGTGCCCAGGGGGGAGTCTCTCATCTGGTATCACCCACGGATTGAGGTGCTGAGTCTGAACCTGCCACTTTTGAACTCTTGCTTGCTGAGGTGTTCCAGCGAGTGTCTCTGTAGATCTAAGAAAACTATTTCTTGATTTAAGTCGTTGACGTGCTGGCTGGTACCCAAACAAGGGATGAGCTGGAGATGTCTCTGCCTTGGTCCTTTCACTATTGGCTGCTACTTCCCGGCGGATGTCAGGTGGTGCAATACCGGCTAAACAGTGTAATTTCTCCAGTGGTGTAGTGCGCAGACACCCCGTGATAATGCGGCATGTCTCATTAAGAGCCACATCCACTGTTTTAGTGTGGTGAGATGTGTTCCACACTGGGCATGCATACTCAGCAGCAGAGTAGCATAGCGCAAGGGCAGATGTCTTCACTGTATCTGGTTGTGATCCCCAGGTTGTGCCAGTCAGCTTTCGTATGATATTGTTTCTAGCACCCACTTTTTGCTTGATGTTCAGGCAGTGCTTCTTGTAGATCAGAGCACAGTCCACAGTATTCTGCCCCATTTGTCCTGGCGGTTTTTGTATTTTTGTGAGTTGCAAGCTAGGGATATCTAGATGGCCACAAAGTATGCTCTGAGGCCGGCATGGGTAAACTTGGGCCGTCCAGGTGTTTTGGACTTCAACTCCCACCATTCCTAACAGCTTCAGGCCCTTTCCTTTTCCACCTCAGCTGCTTAAGCGCTGAGACGGAAAAGGAAGGGGCCTGAAGCTGTTAGGAATGGTGGGAGTTGAAGTCCAAAACACCTGGACGGCCCAAGCTTGCCCATGCCTTCTCTAAAGGGAATGAACTATGGAATTAAAAACAAATACTTTCTCAACTTGGAAAGGATGGAGTCCAATGCTTGATAATATACAGTATTTGTTAGCAGGGCACGTGTGTCTTTTGTGCATGCTAGGTGCAAGAGTTTGAACATATCAATGGGCGCTGGAGCATGCCCGAACTGATGCCGGACCCCAGCGCAGACTCCAAAAAGTCCTCCCGAGCTTCATCCCCCACCATCAAGACCTCCACCACGACCCCAGACCCCAGTTGCACCAATACGCCTTGCACCTCCAAGCCAGGTAGGCTGAGGGGAAAAAGGAAGGGGCCTGAGGCTGTTAGGAATGGTGGGAGTTGAAGTCCAAAACACCTGGAGGGCCCAAGTTGGCCCATGCCTGTCCTAAAGTAATAGCGGATTGTAGGGAAGCGTGTCTTTGGAGAAATAGAGGTGGGTGATGACAGTCTCCTTCTCATCAGCAACTCCGGCTCCGAGCGACAAAGGGGACGGAGGGGTCCTGGCAGAAAAGGAGGATTCAGAGGCCAAAGACGAGAAGCCGGAGAAGGATGCCAAGGGAGGAGAGAAGATGGAGACGGAGGTTGGTGCCGGGCGAGAGGTTTGCACTGGTCTCCCCTTGTGGGAAATCCTCTGGAGTGCCTTGCAAGGCGTTTGTGGCTCAAAGATATCTGGAAATGATTGCTGAAGGCTTTCAGCATCTATCTGCTGCATGATGTTACAGCTAGAGGTTGCATCCCTGGTCTGGGCTTCCTAACGTCCCTCTGTTTTGCCTTTCCCAGCCTTCAGTCCCTGAACAGCCCGTTGGCCCCACGTTATCAGGTGAAAAAATGGAGCTGGAATCGTCAAAAAAGCCTGAGGAGGAGGGATCGACGACCCCGGGGGAGAAGGAGCCAGAGGCTGAGCCTCCCATCAAGGAAGAGAAAGAGAAAATGGGTAAAAATAGTCTCTCTATATCTGTAATATATATGTAAGGAGCCTCCAGTGGCGCAGTGGGTTAAACCACTGAGCTGCTGAGCTCGTTGACCAAAAGGTCACAGGTTCGAATCTGGGGAGCGGCGTGAGCTTCCGCTGTCAGCCCCAGCTTCTGCCAACCTAGCAGTTCAAAAACATGCAAATGTGAGTAGAGCAATAGGTACCACTCTGGCAGGAAGGTAATGGCACTCCATGCAGTCATGCCGGCAACATGACCTTGGAGGTGTCTACAGACAACACCGGCTCTTTGGCTTAGAAATGGAGATGAGCACCACACCCCAGAGTTGGACATGAGCTGGATTTAATGTCAGGGGACAACCTTTACCTATATATATGTAAACAAACAAACAAACAGAGATTGAGGGAGGCTAGATCTCAGTGCAGAAAACAATATTTTCTTGTGTTGTCGAAGGCTTTCATAGCCGGCATCACTGGGTTGCTGTGCATTTTCTGGGCTATATGGTTATGCTCCAGAAGCATCCTCTCCTGACGTTTCACCCACATCTATGCAGCCATCCTCAGAGGTTGTGACATTTGTTGGAGATTAATCAAGTGGAGTTTATATATCTGTGGAATGATGTCCTGGGTGGGAAAAAGAACTCTTGTGTGTTGGAAGCAAGGGTGAATGTTCAATTGATCACCTTGATTAGCACTGAATAGTCTTGCAGCTGCAAAGCTTGGCTGCTTCCTCCCTGAGGGAACCCTTTGTTAACTGGCCCTGATCATTTCTTGTCTGGATTTCCTTGTTGTTTGAGTGTTCCTCTTTCTTTACTGTCTTGACTTTAGAGTTTTTAAAATACTGGTAAGCAGATTTTGTTCATTTTCATTGTTTCCCTTTTCTGTTGAAATTGTCCACATGTTTCGTGTGGATTTCAATGGCTTTTTTCTTCTAACAACCACTAATACAGAGAAGCCATCGAAATCCACAAGAAACATGTGGACAATTTCAACAGAAAGGAGGAAACCATGAAAATGAACGAAATTTACCAGTATTAAAAAATTACAAAATCAGGACAGTAAATAAAGAGGAACACTCAAACAACAGGGGAAACCCAGACAAGAAACAATCAGGGCCAGCTAATTATCTCCCAATAAAGGATTCCCTCAGGCAGGAAGCAGCCAAGCTTTGCAGCTGCAAGGTTATTCAGTGCTAATCAAGGTGATCAGTTTCAACATTCACACTTGTCTCAAACAGACAAGAGTTATTTCTCCCATCCTGGACATCATTCCACAGATATATAAATCCCACTTGCCTAGTTTCCAACAGACCTCACAACCTCTGAGGATGGCTGCCATAGATGTGGGTGAAACGTCAGGAGAGAATGCTTCTGGAACATGGCCAGACAGCCCAGAAAACTCACATCCACTCTATCTTTTCTTGGTAGATGCAGAAAACAATTCGACAATACAGAAAACAATTTGTTTTGCTATTTTTTAATGGATGCCATGATGGAGAAGTGCAAAGTTGGTTGTGTTTGCATAATGGTTGTGGAATAGGTGCAGGGCCGCTTCAATAGGGGATAAAAGAAGGTTATCTGCACAGCAATGAGAACTTCTTTCCTAATTATTCCTTATCTCCATCTTTCCATTACTTTTTTTTACTTTGCCAAATTCCAGATGTTGATTCAGAGAAACCTGTCGCAGATGAGAAATCCCCCGAGAACGACGAGAGTAAAGAGAAGGCGGAGGGGGAAACGCAAGAGGTGAAGAAAGGTAATGTGTTGGCGTGCGTGTATGGAAATCATCATTTAAAAAAGTAATTTTTCAATGGGAAGAGATGGGGAAAATGGGATGTGGTGGCCTTGTTTATTTATTTATTTCGAACACTTTTACCCCACCCTTCTCAATCCCTGGGGGGGGGGGGGGCCTCAGGGTGGCTTCCAATTGGCAACAATTTGGTTCCACATAATAAAATACAAAATACCAATAATTATAATAGTTAAAACAGTGGTTCTCAACCTTGCTAATGCCGTGACCCCTTAATGCAATTCCATATGTTGTGATGACCCCCAACCATAATATTGATTTCGTTGCTACTTGATACCTGTCATTTTAATACTGTTATAAATTGTAATGTAAATATCTGTATTTTCATTCACTGGACTAAATTGAGCACAAATACCCAATATGCCCAAATTTGAATGCTAGTGGGGTTGGGGGGATTGATTTTGCAATTTTGGAGTTGTAATTGCTGGGATTTATAGTTCACCTATAATAAAAGAGCATTCTGAAATCCACCAGTTAAGGATTTAAACCAAACTTGGCACACAGAACTCCCATGACCAACAGAAAACACTGGAAGGGTTTGGTGCTCATTGACCTTGATTTTGGGAGTTGTAGTTCACCTATATCCAGAGGAGTGTTGTGGATTCATGCAATGATGGATCTGGACCAAACTTGGCACAAATACTCAATATACCCAAATGTGAACACTGGTGGAGTCTGGAGAAAATAGACCTTGACATTTGGGAGTTGTAGTAGTTGGGGTTTATAGTTCACCTACAATCAAAGAGCATCTGAACCCCACCACCGATAGAATTGGGGCAAACTTCCCACAGAGAACCCCTATGACCAATAGAAAATACTATCTTTTCTGATGGTCTTTGGTGACCCCTCTGACACCCCCTCACGACCCCCTCAGGGGTCCCGAGCCCCAGGTTGAGAAACACTGAGTTAAAACATTTAAACAATATAGTTACAGTCTACTGAACTATTAATAGTCTGGTGGCCATTATCTAGCCGAATTCTATGATTGCATACTCCATTTAACTTATTCATAATCCATTTCCAAACCATTGTCAATATTGTCATTTCCGCCTAATTACCCGAAGGCTTGGTCTCACATCCACGTTTTTACCTTTTTTCTAAAGGTGAGGAGGGATGACGATGACCTAATTTCCCCGGGGAGTGAATTCCACAGGCGGGGGGGCCACCACGGAGAAGGCCCTGTCTCTCGTCCCCGCCAAGCGTGTTTGAGACAGAGGCGGGGCCGATAGCAGGGCCTCCCTAGAAGATCTTAAACTCCGAGGTGGGACGTAGAAGGAGATACGTTTGGACAGGAGCCATATAGGGTTTCATGTTTTCCCATTTTCCCTTTGAAAAGAAGAGTTGAAAGGCGAGAGGGAGCCAGGAAAAGACCTCAAAGCTAACAGCATCAAAGATGAGAGCCGGAACAATGGCAAGAAGGAGGAAAAGGCAGAGAAGCCCCGGTTCATGTTCAACATCGCTGATGGCGGCTTTACGGGTAGGTGGCAGCCCATGGGCCCTCGGTGCAGGGAGTGGAGGGGACGGAAACAAGGGGGCAAGTGAGTTGTGCATCCCTACAAGTCATAGCAACCTGTGAGGAAAGGAGAGAGATGTTGACAAGCTGGAATGTGTCCAGAGGAGGGTGACTAAAATGATCAAGGGTCTTGAGAACAAGCCCTATGAGGAGCGGCTTAAGGAGCTGGGCATGTTTAGCCTGAAGAAGAGAAGCCTGAGAGGAGATATGATAGCCATGTATAAATATGTGAGAGGAAGCCACAGGGAGGAGGGAGCAAGCTTGTTTACTGCTTCCCTGGAGAATAGGACACGAAACAATGGCTTCAAACTACAAGAAACGAGATTCCATCTGAACATGAGGAAGAACTTCCTGACTGTCAGAGCCGTTCAGCAGTGGAACTCTCTGCCCCGGAGTGTGGTGGAGGCTCCTTCTTTGGAAGCTTTTAAACAGAGACTGGATGGCCATCTGTCAGGGGTACTTTGAATACAATATTCCTGCTTCTTGGCAGGGGGTTGGACTGGATGGCCCATGAGGTCTCTTCCAACTCTATGATTCTATGATTCCTCTTTGGGTTCTGGAGAAGTCATGTTTTATTTCTGTGAGTCAATACCTGCCAATACACCTAGCGTAGAGTGGCATGGCATTTAGTAAGGTTGGGGTGGGGGAGACACTATTAAAAAGTTCCCCTTTCTCCCCAGAACTCCACACCTTGTGGCAGAATGAGGAGCGAGCAGCCATCTCCTCCAGTAGGCTCAATGAGATCTGGCACCGGCGACATGATTACTGGCTGCTGGCTGGCATCGTCCTGTATCCTTTTTGTGTGTGGGAGAGAAAGTGTGTGGTGACCCCAAGGCAGGAGGGCAGAACTCAATCTCATGGACGCCTTCTTGGAATAAGGGAGGTGCTCCCTGCTAAGGGAATAAACCTCATGAACATGAGATAGAATAAAGAGATGAGCTCCAGAAATTGTGCCTCGGTACTTGATCCAGGGGTGGGCCTGGGGGTGGGAGAAGAGCCATTAAATGCCAGCTAAGTCTGCTGTGCACGTGCCCCTTTTTAGGGAGTGTTTACCAACATTTGACAGGTTGGCAACAGGATCCAGCAGCTTCCTTCATCCTCGAAATGGAATAGTAATAATGATAATAATAATAATAATAATAATCTTTATTTATACCCCACCATCATCGACTCCTCCAACGGGGACTTGGAGCGGCTTATATGAGGCGAAGCCCGAACAACAAATTACAAAACAGTAAGATACAAATTGCAATAAAGATACATTCCTGACTTCCTGACTGTGAGAGCCATTGCAACAGTAAGATACAAATTGTCCATGAGGGCTCTTCCAACTTTATGATTCTATGATTCTGTGTCACAGCAAACGAGATCTATATGCTGGATTTCGTATCACAAAATCACAAGTCGAACACTTCCCAAGCGTCTAGGACTGTGTGGTGTATTTTCGAATGATGCGTGCAGATCCAAGTCAAGTGGCCTTTTGCAGTTGACAGATCGTGATTTTGTCAATGTTTATTGTTTCCAAATGATGGCTGATATACTTTGGCATGGCACCCAGTGCACCAGTGACCACTGGGACCACCTGTGCTGGTTGATGCCAGAGCCTTTGCAGTTCGATTTTGAGGTCTTGATAGTGGCTGAATTTCTCCTGTTGCTTTTCCTCAATGCGACTGTCAATCAAAATACAGAATCAAAATACAAATGAACCATCACATAAGCGGCAGAAATATACAATGCCAGAGAAACAGCAAAGATGATGACGATGATGATGATGATGATTATTATTATTATTATGCTGCTCCTGTTAGCAATCTGGTTGGACTAATTGAACAGTCTTCAAAGGCAACCCCATGTAGAGCGCGTTGCAGTAGCCTATACGAGATGTAACCAGCTCATGGACCACTGTGGCCAAGTCTGACTTCCCAAGGAATGGGTGCAGCTGGCACACAAGTTTTAATTTTGCAAAAGCCCCCCAGGTCACCGCTGAGACCAGGGGTTCTCATATAGCCTCCTTACTTGTAGGACCATTAGAGGAGGGGAGTGTAAGCTGCAACAGGTACCCAGTTAACCAGTGACTCACCTGTAGCTTAAAAGATCTTGGAACTCAAGGCTGAGAAGTGTAGACCCCTGGCAATCCATAGTTATGTAGCCGAGGGCAGAGAATTACGACTGTATGCCTGTGTTCTGTGTATCTCTGCCTAACTTTGTGGCGGGGAGGGAGCAGTGGTCTCTTCGCGACAATGGACCTTCCTTAACTCCTCCGTCCTGCTCTACAGTCACGGTTACGCACGCTGGCAGGACATCCAGAACGACAACCAGTTCGCCATCATCAACGAACCTTTTAAGACCGAAGCGAATAAGGGCAACTTCTTGGAGATGAAGAATAAGTTTCTTGCCAGAAGGTTTAAGGTGCGGAGGATAAATTTCCAACTGTTGTGGTTACAAAAATAATATCAAACATAATATCGGGGTGAGTCCATAATAACAAGAAGAGATGATACTCATAGTGCTTCGTCTGTTCCAGGCAGATTTCAACATGAATAAGTATGTGCCTAGCACCAGATGAATAGTAACTCCTGGCAAAGGCTTCTATATGTTTAGACTAGGCATGGGCAAACTTTGGCCGTCCTCTGGATGTTAGGAATTGTGGGAGTTGAAGTCCAAAACACCTGGAGGTCGGCCAAAGTTTGCCCATGCCTGGTTTGGAGAGACCTGGCCCCCCTTCCCACTCTTGCCCTGTCTTCTCTCAGCTCCTGGAACAAGCCCTGGTGATTGAGGAGCAGCTGCGCCGGGCGGCCTACCTGAACATGACCCAGGACCCCAGCCACCCGGCCATGGCCCTCAACACCCGCTTTGCCGAGGTGGAGTGTCTGGCCGAGAGCCACCAGCACTTGTCCAAGGAATCTTTGGCCGGCAACAAGCCCGCCAACGCCGTCCTGCACAAGGGTAAGAGGCGGGCGGGTAGGCGGGCCCGGAGAGGACAGTCCACGTAACCATGCCCTCCCCTTCGCAAACCTGTGCTGCATCCTTCTGTACCATACTCTGAATCCATTAAAGTGCGGTTGTGATCAGAAAAGCCGCTGTGTTCGGTTGTCTCCTTGATCCTGCTCTGTGTATCTTTGGTGTATCTGCTTTGGTCTCTCTATGAAGTACCCCGCAAGTCTCTCTTGAGTGCCGTATCTGCCGGCTGAGCATCCTCAACGCCTCTTTTTGCCTTCTCAACATCTCCCCCTTCCCCTTGCCAAGCATGCCTGCTGCATACTTCATGGAGTATCTTTTGATGTGGCTGTGGAATACCCAAGTATCTCTCTTTTCACCATCTTCAATGCTTTTGATGTATCCTTGGAAAAAAAAAAAGTTCCCAGAAAACACTCTTGAGTACTTCTAGAGTACTTCTGGGACATCTGTCCTTTTAGCATCTCTTGTGCATTTCTCCAGTGAGTCTTGTGTGAGTAGCACCGGTTGACATTTCTCCCTTTCCAACTCCTCTGATGTATTTCACTACTTGGTGCATTTCTCACCATATTTCTGGTCTGTTTCCCTGTGAGTTTCTTCATGCGTCCCCCCTCCCCTGCCACAAATACCATGTGAGTATCTCTTGTGTTTAGTCTCCCGATACGTTTCCTCAAGTGAACTCATTTATTTTATTTATTTACAGTATTTATATTCTGCCCTTCTCACCCCGCAGGGGACTCAGGGCGGATTACAATGTACATATACATGGCAAACATTCAATGCCATAGACACACAACATATATAGACAGACACTCAGAGGCTATTTAACATTCCAGCTTCTGGCCACCAGGGGAGCTTGCTTCCTCATTCTTTGCATACTTCCTGGAGATTTTTATGGCCTCGTAAATCAGTTAAATTCGCCTCCCCACATAAGTGGTACCTAAATTTCCTACTTGACAGATGCAACTGTCTTTTGGGCTGCAAAGCTACACAATTTTGGTCGGGAGCTCACTCTGATTCTTTAATAATAATAATAACACTTTATTTGTACCCCGCTACCATCTCTCCAGGGACTCGGTGTGGCTTACATGAGGCCGAGCCCAAACACAACAATACAAGCAATAACAACAGTACAAGCAATTAAAAAACACATAGACAATAAGATACACAACATTATCAATAAAACAACACATAATTAAAAACAGTGGGAAGGCCAAATGTAGAGTTAAAATTGGAAATAATGCTGGGACATGAACAGAAGGTGATACTGGTGTTTGTGGAAGGGCATATGTAAATCAGTTCAATTAGCCTCCCCACATAAGTGGTACCTAAATTTCCTACTTGACAGGTGCAACTGTCTTTTGGTCTGCACAGCGACACAATTTTGATCAGGAGCTCACTCCGACCCAGGCTGGCTTCGAACTCATGACCTTTCGGTCAGTAGTGAACTTAATGCAGCTGACTCCCAGCCATCTGTGCCACAGTCACCTCCCTGCTTCCACACAGAGTAGTGTGCTTTGCAGCCCTCTGGGGCACTTTAGTAATGGAAAGAATGGGCCTTCTCCATCATTGGTGGGAAAAGAACATGTCTGGCCGTTGCTTTTGCTCTTTAAATAATGCCCTGGGAGCCAATGCCCCCCATCCCCATACACTCAGTGCAATAATATTTGTTTACAGTAGGCCTTTGGTGTCAAGAGAGGTCACCTGCGGACTTGGGCTCTGCCCTCCTGACAGATTTTGGTTTCTTTTTCTCCCCCTCTCTTTGCTGCTGGCACACCAGTGCTGAACCAGTTGGAGGAGCTTCTCAGCGACATGAAGGCGGACGTGACCCGCCTGCCCGCCACGCTCTCCCGCATCCCTCCGATTGCCGCTCGCCTCCAGATGTCCGAACGCAGCATCCTTAGCCGCTTGGCAAGCAAAGGGAATGAGACTCAGACTGCCCCGGTAACCTTACACTCGTCGAATGAGATCACTTGAAATGGTGTGGATAGGCTAATCAGGGCAGAACCAAACTCATGCCTGCCTTCTGTTCACAGCCTGACACAAAAATGCCTTTGAAAAAATTATGTGTCTATCCACTAATCTTCTGTAAAAAGGGCTTATGTTATGATAATGTGCTTATGTTTTCATACCTGCTCCTTAGGAAGAGAAGCCCCTGCTGCAACCTGCATGGAAGTGTGGACTGCTTAGCCCTCTTAGAGGCCTAAAAAAGAGAGGGAGAGATGCCTTTTCTCACGGAAAGTGGCAGAGCAATGTAACATCACTCGACTGCTCCGCTCTGCTTCCATTGTGGTTGTGGAAGGAGTTTCCTTTCCTATGCAACTAGTCTAGAAACCAAAGAGGGCTTGTGATGGTAAAGGAGGTGAAGGACAAGTGAGATTTGGTCACTTGTTGGCACTGAATTCGTGGTTATCTGTACCTGAACGCAAAGTTGTTGACAACCAGAGTGCCTATTTATTTGTCGTGTCAGGACAACCAGTCAAATTATATTACATTTCTAACAGAACAAAGCAAACAAACAGACAAAATACAAAAATTTAAGCTTGGTAGTTGATTAAATGTCCTTTGACCAGTATCTGGCCCACTTGGAGTGCCTCTGGTGTTGCTGCAAGAAGGTCCTCCATTGTGCATGTGGCAGGGCTCAGGTTGCATTGCAGCAGGTGGTCAGTGGTTTGGCTCCTCTCCACACTTGCATGTCGAGGATTCCACTTTGTGGCCCCATTTCTGAAGGTTGGCTCTGCATCTCATGGTGCCAGAGCGCAGTCTGTTCAGCGCCTTCTTTTTGCTTCTGGCTGGGCTTACTGGTGTCTGTTGTGGATTCTTTCCTCCCTGTATTGTGTTTAGAACTCAAAGCCCCCCTTTCCTTTCTTTTCCCGCTTCACAGGCCTTCCCACCCGGACCATATGCCACTCCTCCCACCTTTGGAAGCTCTTTTGGTGCCACTCCTGGTGGGGCACTGCCCACCATGGGCGCCAACTACAGCCAAATGCCCACCGGATCCTTCATCACAGGTTAGTTTAAAAGTTTATTTTAAAAGTATATTTTCGCTTAACCCAGACCTTGTTCCTGAAGATGATGATCCCAGCCCAGAGACACCACCACCTCCAACACCTTCAGCTAAAGTAAACAAAATTGCAATTGGCCCTGCCTACTCTGCTCAATTTTAGTTATTTTATGTTATATCACATGTTTATCATGTATTATTTTCTTTTGTTATATTTTATTATATTTTATTTGATGTATTATTGTAGGTTTGCACTCTTTTTACCTTGTGTAATTGTTGGGCTTGGCCTCATGTAAGCTGCCCCAAGTCTCCTTGGGTAGATGGTGGCAAGGTATAAATAATAATAATAATAATAATAATAATAATAATAATAATTATTATTATTATTATTATTATTATCTTTATTTGTACCCCGCTAGCATCTCCCGAAGGACTCGATGCAGCTTACAAAGGCCAAGGCCTCAAAACACAACATAACAATACAACACCTAAAGTAAATTAAAAACAGTTAAAGCAATATTAAACAACAAGCAATAAACAATACACAAGACACTATAAAACTGGGCCGGGCCAGAGTAATGGGTACAAGGTTAAAAGTGCTGATGTGACAGGTGATATGTAAGGATTATAGGGTAAGTGCAGTGTGCAGTGTGTGGCAATCTCAATTCTAGTAAAGTGCTTCTGGGACTTGTTGTTGGAGATTCCTATTCTGGAAAGGCACATCAGAACAAAATAAAGTTATTATTATTATTATTATTATTATTATTATTATTATTGGGATGTTGTAGGTTTTTTCGGGCTATATGGCCATGTTCGAGAGGCATTCTCTCCTGGCGTTTTGCCTGCATCTATGGGAACTCTCTGCCCGGAGTGTGGTGGAGGCTCCTTCTTTGGAAGCTTTTAAACAGAGGCTGGATGGCCATCTGTCAGGGGTGCTTTGAATGCAATATTCCTGCTTCTTGGCAGAATGGGGTTGGACTGGATGGCCCATGAGGTCTCTTCCAACTCTATGATTCTATATTTCTTCTTTTTCTGTCGATTTGTTGTAAAACATGATGTTTTGGTGCTTAATTTGTAAAATCATATCATAATTTGACGTTTAATAGGCTTTTTGTTAATTCTTCCTTATTATCCAACATTTTTGCTTTCCTGTCGTAGTCACTGTGAATCGTACATTTGGTATCTGTGCGCATGCGCAGTACAGCTTTCGGAACCTTCTAGATAAAAATATAACAATTTTAGAGCCCACTAGCCCCGCCCCCCCTCCCCTCGAGTATAAGTAGCCCGAGGGCGGGGCTAGCCAGCAGTTCTCTTTTCCGCGCTATCGCAGTAGCTTGAGAACCTCTCTCTTATCTTTGCGAGCTTCTGGATTTGACTTTGAACGTTTGACTGGACTGTTTTGCGACTAAGGTACTGGACTCTGATTTGGACTTGTTGATCTGATTGACCCGGACTGTCTGACCATCCCGTGTGCTGCCTCCCCTCACGTGTCGACCCGGACTGTCTGACCATTCCTTGTGCTGCCTCCCTTCACGTGCTTGAGCGGGATGGCCACTACATCTTTCAAGCGCTGTTCCAAGTGCCCCAACACCTACCCGGACACCGATGGGCACTCTTTGTGTTTGCAATGCCTTGGTGAGGGTCATCTCACCCAGAGCTGCTCGGTCTGTAGGGCTTTCACGCCACAGACCAGAAAGAACAGGGAGCTGAGGCTTAAGGCGGCTCTTTATGAAAGGGCCTTGCTCCCGCCTGTTCCATCGCCTCAACTTGCGACCCCGGCGCTTTCCACTGTGCCCCTCTTGGACCAGGCTATGGGGCTGACTAAGAAGAAGACCAAAAGGCCTAAAGACAAGGCCTCCCAAGATGGCCGCGAGGCAGCACAGCCCAAGAAAGCAGCTCCGAAAAGGGCGGGAAACGCGGCCTCATCCCTCGCTGCCCAAGCCCCTCCCTCCATAATGGCGGAGCCGCCGGGCCAGCCTAGCCTTCCTCTGGAGGCACCTACCTTGCCCCTCGAGATGGCGCTTGTGACTCCCCTCAGGATGCAGCACTCGAGACCGGAGGGCCCGGTCTCGGAAGCCTCCTCAACCCCCCTGATGCCGACGCTCTCTCCGGCAGGGGGTGGAGCCAGCGGGGAGACTGCGCAAGGGGATGGGAGACCAGTCCCTATGGCTCCTCCCACCTCTTCCTCTTTGGAGTCGGCGCCGTCTTGCAGCGGCGCTTTCGGGGGAATTTTCAACGCCCCCCCCGCTGGAAGAGCAGAAGCGGCCGCTCGGGGAGCCTCTCCACTTGCCGCTTCGGCAACTCCTCCCCTTGACGCCTTGGAAGGAGAAGCGGGGTCTCCGGGGCTGCGGATGTCAGCTTCCTTCCGCCCGGACGGGCTGCAAGGTCCCGCTGACGATCCTTCGGTGCCGGGACCGGCACCAGCTATGGCCTTCTCCCGAAACCACGCGAGGGAGGACAGAGGGTCCCGCAGGCCCAGCAAGCGGCCAAGGCGCTCTAGGTGCCCCTCCCGACGGAGCAGGAGCTCTCGGCATCGGGGGCGTAGAGCATCGACGAGGTCGAGCCGGCGTTCGAGGTCTTCATCTTGCTCTTCCTCGTCTTCGACCTCCTCTTCGTCGTCCTCCTCGGGCCCCAGACGTCGGAGGCATGCCCGCCGCTCCAGAGCCCCTTCACACCCGGCGGAGCGCGACTCCGGACCCACGGCTCCGCAGGGCTATTGGCAGATGACTCCTTCGGGCCAGCTTGTTTTTGTGCCTGCCCCGATCCCCTACTCGGTACCGGCGGGTCCCCCTCCTCCCCTCCCTCTGCGGGAGCTGGGAGGTCTGGAGGGCCACAGAGCTTCAGCCTCTCTAAGGGGTCTTGATATGCAGGGGACCCCAGCGCGCTCTTCTCTAACCCCTGCTGCAACAAACCTTTCTGCAGGGGTTAACCAGCTGTCCCACCGAGAGGTGCCGGCAGGCGGAACAGTAACTGATGCTCAACCGCACCGCCAAGAGGCGCAAGGGGGCGCTACAACTTCAGTGGACCCTGCCCCTCTGACTGAACTTGACCCAGCTTTGGCTACCCCTATGAGACTAACTGTTATGGACTCCTCTAAGGCTGTTGATCAAGACATGATGGACCCAAGAGATAGTGACTCTGGCTCAGAGCCGCCTGATCCTTCTCAGACTCTAGGGGGTGAGGATGTTTCTTGTACTATGCCGGCTGATTTTCACAAATTTGCTGCTTTGGTGGAGCGTATGATCAGGGCACTGAATATACCTGCCCCAAAACAGCCTGAGCATGTGGAAGATCCGATGTTTCCATCGGATGAGCAACATACGAGCCCTTCCTCTGCTCTCCCGCTTTTGCCTTATTTACTGAAATTAGCCAAGGTGACCGATATGGCACCTGGGGCAGTACCAGCGGTGCCCAGACGACTGGACACTCTATACAAGATTGATATGGCCTCGGCCAAATGGGTAATAGCCCCTCCCAAGGCAAACACGGTGGTGGCAGAGGTCACAAAATCTAAGCGCCCGAAGGGTTCGGCGACCACCCCCCCAGATAGAGAGGGGAGGAAACTGGACACTTTGGGCAAAAAAGCTTACCTTTCTGCCAGTTTGTATACACGCATGGCTCATTACGCAACTTATATGAGCGGTTATCAATCCTTTTTGTGGAACCGCATGTTGCTGTATATTGACTCCATGCCCGGAGAGGAGCAGCGCCTTGCCAAGGCATTACAAGGGGAAGCCCTGGCATTGGCGAAGCTACAAAAAGACTTCGCCAAACATATGGCGGAGACAGCGGGGAATTTGTTCGCCACAGCCACCTCCATTCGTAGGCACGCCTGGTTACGAGCCGCTAACCTTTCAGAAGAGGGAAAGGCCTTAGCTGAGGAACTCCCCTTTCATGAGGAGGGCTTATTTAATCCCAATACAGACGATAATTTGAAGCAAAAACAAGATGTGAGACAATCGGCCTCTAAATTCGGCTATACTTGGCAACCATATAGCCAACAGAAGCCAAGGTGGCAAAGCCTTACCTCCTCCTACCGAAGGCCCTTTAATAGTTCCTCCTCGGGACCCTTTAGAAATCGCTCGACGGGATCGGCGAGATTCCAAGGAGGACGTCGGGCCCCTTATTTTCAAAAGGCCAGGTCTCAACCCTTCCAGGGGAAAACTAAGCTTTCCGGCGCCTCTAAGAAGCGTCTTTGACGTTCCTATGGAGAGTAGCGGGCAGGATGTAATTGAGAGTCCTCCTTACCTGTTACGGGAGTCCCAAGTCATTGCCCCTTCCCCGCAAGATTCTTTTACCTTGAGTTGTCGCAGCCCCGTTGGGCCTTGTTCATTGTTCAGGGACAGACTCGCTCCCTTCTACGACGAGTGGGCAAGCATTACCACAGACGCCTGGGTCTTGTCCATTGTTGCTAACGGTTATAGTATTGAGTTCGACGACACCCCAAGGGTGGGCCTGGTTCGGGACACGCCCTTCTCCCCTCAAATTATGGAGGAGATTACAATGTTGTTACAAAAAGGGGCCATCTCTCTGGTCGACCCTTCTGCAGTTCCGTTCTGTTTCTTTTCGAGGTACTTTCTAATTGTTAAACGTGGAGGTGGAATGCGCCCGATCCTTGACCTTAGGGCTCTCAATAAACATATTAAGCCCAAAAAATTTCGTATGGTGACTCTTGCTTCCATAGCCCCCCTTCTCTTTCGGGGGGCCTGGTTCGCGACTGTCGACCTTCGGGATGCGTACTTCCACATCTCCATTGCCCCGCATCACAGGAGGTTTCTATCCTTCCGGGTCAATGGCCAAGCATACTGTTTCAATGTCCTGCCGTTTGGCCTCTCAGCTGCCCCACGGGTGTTTACAAAGTGTATGGCGGTGGTGGCCGCACATCTAAGGATTAGGGGCGTGTCCATTTACCCTTACATTGACGACTGGCTGATAGTGGCTAGGTCTCGTGATTTGCTACAACATCACGTGTCCATGGTTTTGTCTCTTCTCCAGTCGCTGGGCCTCGTACTCAACCAGGAGAAGTC